CCTTCCTGGCCCTGACAGCCGAGCTGGGACTTCTGGTGATCCTGCGGCCGGGACCCTACATCTGTGCAGAGTGGGAGATGGTGAGTCTCAGCCCCACCCCCCCCACCCCCCGCTCAGCATGGAGGGGTGATGAGTGGCCTGGGAAGGGCACAGTGGGGCTGGCGCTTCTGGCTGGCACGCTGACCCTGGTGCCATGCCAGCCCTACCTGGGTTGCTGCCTCACAGGGCACGTGCCACTCTGGCACCGAGCTGGTGCCATTGCGCTGGCCGGATTTCGGCTGTGTGACAGCCCGGGCCGCTGCACGGTTCCTCTGGCTCCCTCTCTGCTGTGCTCGTTTCTCCAGGGTGGGCTGCCCGCCTGGTTGCTGTGGAAACCAGACATCGTTCTGCGCTCCTCCGACCCCGGTGAGCCTCGGCACGGGGCTCTGGCCACCATGTCCTTACAACCTGGTGCCAGCCCCGGCATGCCAGTGTCTTTCCATGCACCTGCCAGCCCCGCTGCGTGGTCTCTCTCATCCTCTTCTCCATCTTTTGGGAGCGCTGTAGTTTGTTCTCCGCCTCTGCTTCCTCATCACACTCGGCATTGCCCCATCTCCTCCATCCTCTTCCTGGCAGGGCTGGCTGTGGGTGGGCTGGGGTGGATGCTGCGGCCAGGCTGAGCTGTCCTCCCTCTCCCCAGCCTACCTGGCAGCTGTGGACTCCTGGCTCCATGTCCTGCTACCCAAGATCAAGCCACGGCTCTACCAGAATGGGGGCAACATTATCAGCGTGCAGGTAGGGTGCTGTGGGACTCAGCTTCCTGCCCTGCTCTGGGTCATCTTTGGACGTGCCCCAAAAAGTCACCTGTACCTGCTACACCGTGCCTTCATCTGGCACAGCTCTTAGATAAATCCCTCATGACCTCTGGACCTGGGTTTAAATCCAAGGGCTGGGACTCTGGGGTACCTGCCACCGCTCTGCTTGTGGTTTGTGGGATGCTGACAGAGCTGGAGGTCATAGCGGGGCTGGAAGGTCAGTCTCGGGACGCACCTGGGGGCTGTCACGATGTCTAATGATGTCGGGAGGGAAGAGGGGAACTGGTGCTCATCCCAGTGTGTGGTGGGACCTGGCTGCAGCCCTGCCATGTGCACGCTGGCTGCCGACCCCTGCCCGGCTCGCAGGTGGAGAACGAATATGGGAGCTACTACGCCTGCGACTATGAGTACCTGCGGCACCTTCTGGGCTCCTTCCGGGCACTGCTGGGGACCGAAGTGCTGCTCTTCACCACTGACGGCACGCGGGCGGAGGAGCTGCGCTGCGGCACGCTGCAGGGGCTCTACGCCACCATCGACTTCGGGCCAGGTACCCCTATGGGGGAGGAGGAGAGGGGATGGAGATCCCAGCTCCATCCTGCTCCAACCTCCCTGCCGCCACCTCTGCAGGCTCCAACGTGACAGAGGCGTTTGGTGCCCAGCGCCGTGTCGAGCCAAAGGGGCCTCTGGTGAGTTTGGCATGGCGGGAGGGGGGAATGACCTGTGATGGCTTTGGGGAGGCAGAGGGGCTGGGGGGTGACAAGGCAAAAAGGGGTGCTGGAGCCAGGCTGCAGGTGAGCAGGGGGGATGTGGCTGACAGAGGAGTGCCAGGAGCTCCATCTCCACCCAGGTGACACTCCGAGTGTCACTTTTTCCCCCAGGTGAACTCTGAGTACTACACGGGCTGGCTGGACTACTGGGGGGAGGCTCACGCCAGCACCAGCTCAACACAGGTGGCCCGGGGGCTGGAGGACATGCTGCAGCTGGGAGCCAGCGTCAACATGCAAGTAGTGAGCTGGAAGGGGGCACAGCCTTTGGAGGGGGCGGGGGGAGCAATGCCCTCCTATCCGCCAGCATTGGAGTGGGCATCACCGCTCCCCTTCGTCCCCCGGGGCTTGGGCAGGGGGAGGCAGGCAGAGCTGGGACTGCGGGGACAGCACCCAGCAAAGCCCCCAGCAGGTTTGTGGGGATGCTGACGGAGCTCTCTGGGGTGTCCCGTAGGTACATGTTCCATGGGGGAACAAACTTCGCCTATTGGAGTGGTGAGTAGGGCCCTGTCCTAGGGAGCGGGGGCACACTGCGGGGCTGGGGGGCTTCCCGTGGCCATCTCTCAGGAGCCTGCTTCAGGCTCCTGTTCTGTCCCATGGGGCAGGCTGACACATACCCAAGAGACCCTGAACCCAAGCTTGACCCTCCCTGGGGACTCCAGGGGTTCCCAGTTCTGGGTCATACCCCCCCATTGCAGCCAGCCTGGGGCTGGGTTCCATGCCCTGGGCTCTGCAAGAGCCCTTTCCTCCAGCTCCCATCATTTCCCCGGCCAGGTGCTGACTTCAAGGACCAGTACAAACCAGTAACCACCAGCTACGACTATGATGCTCCCCTCTCGGAGGCGGGAGACCCCACCGAGAAGCTGTTTGCCATCCGCACCGTCATCAGCAAGGTGCTGAGCCTGGCAGGAGGAGGGGGACAGTACTGGGCACCCCTGCCTGTGCCAGGGAAGAGGGGGGACAGAGGGAGCTGGCAGGGCAGGGGACATCTCCCTGCATGGTCCAGGAGGCAGCTGACAGTTTGCTGTTCAGTTCCAGCCCCTGCCAGTCGGTCCGATGCCACCTGCCACCCCCAAGTACGCCTATGGCTGGGTGGCCCTGCAGAAGGTGAGTGCCTGCCCTGTGGGCTGTGCTGTCCCTGCCTGTCCCTGCCCGGCTGCCCTTGCCACATCCCTTTCTCTTTGCAGTATGCCGACCTCTTGGATGTCTTGGATGTGCTGTGCCCCTCTGGCCCCATCCAGAGCCAGTTTCCCCTCACCTTTGAGGCCATAAAGCAGGTGAGGGGGTGGGTGCAGTGGGGGACGCTGGGGGAGACGCTTGTCTGCCCTGTCCTGGCTTTGGGGTGGAGGAGCAGAGCTCATCTCCAGCCCCGTTTCCTTTTTTGTGCTGCTCTGTTGTGTCCCACAGGCCCATGGCTTTGTGCTGTACCGCACACAGCTGCCCCGGGATGTTCTGGACCCAGCCACACTGGGTGCTCCTCCCCACAGCATCTGTGACCGCGGCTATGTGATGCTGCAGCAGGTGAGGCTGCGGGAGCACATCCATCCCTGGCCCAGAGCTCGGGGAGGGCTGTGGGACCTGCCAGCAGCAGGGCTGTGCCATGCCAGGGTCTCGGGGAGACAGCCGGGGTGCTGAGAGCCACACCAAGCCCTTGTGGCGTAGCCCTCTGGCTGGAATTTGCCCCTTTTGGGGGCAGGGGGCAGCCCTGGGCCAGCTCGGTGTGGGGGTAGGCAGTGGGGTGCTACGCTGGTAGGCTGCCGGCAGCGTTTGGGGCAGTGGGATCCGGGCACAGGGTTGCAGCGCTGACCCTGTGGCTGCAGGAGTACCAGGGGACACTGGAACGGGATGAGCAGACAACGCTGCGTGTGATGGGCAAGGCTGGGGACACTCTGGATGTGCTCCTGGAGAACATGGGCAGGATCAGCTTTGGGGCAAACGTCAGTGACTTCAAGGTGAGGGGAGAGGGCCCTGGTGTTCCCGAGAGGGTGGCCAAACACCCCCTCTCCTGCCACCCATGACAGACCCCAGCCACGGCAGAGCGACCTGGTTAATCTCGCACCATCCCCTGGCAAAGCTGCCAGGACCAGGATCCGGCTGCGAGACCGGCACCCCTCTCTCCCATTTACACTGCCATGGCAGTGCAGTGCCTCAGAGGGGATCCCATCCCACCTTCACTGCTGCCAGGGGGACGTGACCTGGGGAAGCCAAGCATGCTCCTGCCCGTGGCAGACCCTGCTGCCTCATTTTCCCTTCTGCTCCATCTCAGGGCTTGCTCGGGAACCTCTCCTTGGACTCCATCACTCTCAGCAACTGGCTCATCTACCCGCTGGCCATAGATACTGCCATCCAGCAGGGCTGGCCCCACACTGCCCTGCCAAAATCAAGCAGCAGGGGCAGAGCAGGGCCAGCCTTCTACACTGGGACCTTTGAGACCCCTGGCAGCGCCTGGGACACCTTCGTGAAGTTCCCAGGTTGGAGTAAGGTAAGGTAGTGCGTAGCCAGGAGAAGGGGTGAAGGTGGAGAGGGGCAGAGCTTAGTCCCGTCTCCATTTTCCAGGGCCAGCTGTGGATAAATGGCTTCAACCTGGGCCGGTACTGGCCCTGTCGCGGACCCCAGCAGACCCTCTTTGTGCCCGGCTCAGTGCTGCATGTCGGCCGCCCCAACAACATCACAGTGCTGGAGCTGGAGGGTGCACCTCCTGCCCCCTCCCTGCTTTTTCTCGACCAACCCCTTTTCAACAGGACCCTCAGCGGTAGCACTGAGGCCACAGAATAAATGCAGAGCTACTGGGCACCAGCATCACTTCTTGCTGGGAGGTGGTAGGGGGATGGTAAAGCACAGGGGTTGCAGGGCCCCAGGAAAGGAGCCAGGATATCCAGAGCCAGGCAGGGTCTGCGCTAAACAGAAAGAGACTCAGAATTGATCTTGTTTTGCACGTTAATCCCAAATAGTTCCAGTGCTCGTGCTGACATCCCCACATCAGGGCACCTCTTTATTGACAATGCAGACAGAGGAGGTAGTTCCTAACATGATATGGCTGAAACACCAATGGTATCCAGGAGAGGAGAGGGCAAAGCACAGCCCAGAGGATGCCCACAGGCACGGCTGCAGGTGGCTCAGGGCTGCAGGGTCTGGATATGTCAGGATCTGTCCCACCGCCATGGGCAGCAGCCTATGAGGTAGCCATGAGAAAAGGCAGCAGCAAGACACCCCAAGCTACAGCTGAGCCACAGAGCAATCCCAACTCCTCACACTACTATATAGGGACCTCCCAGTTGTAATGGCCTCCAGAGTCACCACACAGAGTGACGTTCTTGCCCTGAGCCTTGCCAGAGTTGCTCCTGAGAATGACATCTCGGTCCCTCCGACCAGCGCTGCTCCACAGGCTCTCCCTTGCTGCAGAGCCAGTCGATCCTTGGACAGGTGGCAGCAATCCCCAGCCTTACGTCTGGCTGGCTCGGGCCCGGTGGTGGGTTTGCAGGCAGGCCGTGGAGCAGAAGGAGAAGTCGAGGTAATGGAAAGGGATCCGGCCCAGCAGGGACTCTCCACAATGCCAGCAGCGGCTGCAGGAAAGAGAAGAGGTAGCCCTGAGCGTAGGAGACACTTGCAAGAGGGTTAGAGGAGCAGAGCGGATTCGTTGCCTGGGCTGTGACATGAGACAGCAGCAGTATGAGGCTCCTGTGGTCCTACAGGGCTCACCCAGCAGCCTGGCCAGGATGTGCTCCCAGGAGCTCCACGGGGTGATGCGCTTCGAGGCAGGCAGAACATGGGGAGTTTGGCCCCACAGGGGGTTAAAAAGCCCCTGCCCACATCAGCACGTGCAGGGCTGGTTGCCCACAAGCCTGTAGGGCTGCATAAAGAAGGGACATGGGATGCAGGGCGAGGGGCACAGGAGTAGCTGGGGGATTGGCTTGCCATAGATCTGGCTCCAAGTGGACCAAGTTGTCCTTTCCGAAGTATTTCAGGGGGGCAGGGGAAGAGAGAGAGAAAGCTTTTAGACAGGCACTGCTGGGAATCGAGTGGACAGGAATAGCTTTAGACTGGAAATGAGAACTGGAGCAAGAAGGGCAGGGAACAGCTGAGCTGACACGGGAGAGCGCTTCTGCGGAGCTGTGCTGCAGGGGCTGTTACCTGATGTTGGTAAGAGTTGTGCCGGTGTCCTGCAGCTGCACAGCCAGCCTCCGCTCGGCAGCCAGGGCCCTCTGGGGAGCAGAGAGACAGCTCAGCCCCCCCCAGCCCCTGGGAGCTGCTGTGCCCAGAGTCCACCGCACTGGCACTGCCCCAGCTAGGCTGGATCCCCTTCCCCATGCACGGCCTCACCTTCTCCCTATCGGACAGGGCTGCGAATCGCTGCTTTTCTCCCTGCTCCTGCTCCCAGCGTTGCTGCTCCTCCCGCTTCGCCTGTTCCCGCTGCTTCCGCTGGGCTTTCTGTGCCCGCTTCTTCTCCAGCTTCTTGGCCTCCATCTCCTGCGTGAGGGGCCCTGGCACCTGGGGGCAGAAGGCAATAAGCATCTCCCACTGAGCCAGGGGCAACAGCATAGACAGGCAAAAGGCACTTTGCTCTTGGGGTCCCCCACCCCCCCAGAAGGTGAGGGCAGAGGGCAGGCACCCACCTTGGCACGGCTGTAGTCATACTTGTCTGGATGGTCCACCATGAACTTGCGGAAGGCGTTACGGGTCAGTTTGTCAGCAGACACACAGTAGGGGGTCCTCTCCTGCCTGTCTCTGTGAGACAAGGAAGACCAGCTCACCCTGCCATCTTACTGCCTGTGTCCCACTGGGCTGTGAGCCCCGTGTCCCCACAGAGATGTGCTACGGGTACTGCAAGCCAGGGTATCGCAGCCAAGGAGGGAAAAGTTGCTTATCCCTACATCAGAATCCCCCAAATCCTCCCTTTGTGCATCTCAAATGCCCTGGCAAAGCGTGGTCTCATCCCTACCCTCTGAACTGCCTACCAATAAACCTGGGAGCACTTTGGGGCAGTGCCCGCCTGCCGCTCTGCCAGACCAGGCAGGCAGAGAGAACAGTGATTCAGCTTTTAGGTCTCCTGTAACAAACCCAGACATCCCAGCTGGTAGAGACCAACCCCGGCTGTCCCAGGACAAGGCTGGCACCAGTCTCCTGTGGCTGAGACAGGAAGGAGTCGCTGGGGTCCCACAGCGGGGTTGCGCTTGTCAATTGCTGGGTGCCCTGTGGCCGTACCTGAGGGCAGGGGCAGCTCCTGCCTCCAGCAGCAGGCACACAGCCTCAGCCTTCCCTGCCCGTGCTGCCACGTGAAGCAGGGTGCAGCCGTGCTCGTCCACAGGCTGGTTGAGCAGGGAGTGGGTCATATCCAGGGGCTGCGTGCCCTCCCCATCCTTGCTGTTCCCCGGCAGGCCTCCGCTCTCTGGCATACCCAGGAGGTGCCGCAGCGTCCCCACATCCCCCGTTTTGCAGGCGGTGAACAGGGCATTGCGGAGCTGGGTCTGCAGGTCTCCTATGAGGGAAGAACAGGAGGGGAGTCTGATGGCTCCCTGGTCTGGTGCTCTGGTCTGACTAGGAAACACATACAGCGCAGTTAAAGCATCGTCCTGGTAGCTGGATTTGGGCACTGCAGGATCTCCAGCACCTTCAGAGTCCATGATAATGTGCCATGGCGTTGCTGGGCACTGTTGGCAGCAGCCAAGCCCTCTCCCGAGATAAGGCCCACTCCAATGCCCCCCAAAACACCTGGCTTAGCCAGTGCTGCCTGCCCCCCGTGTCAGAGCTACCACTCCAAACACACAGCTTGTTCGAAGGCATGTGGCTGCACTACAGCCACCCCACACCCAGCTGCTCTGGGCACATGACTGACAACATGCTCTTCGCCCCACTGCAAAGCCACCAGCAAATGGGGCAGACATCCACCCAGACCAGCTCCTGGCCTCACTTACCTCCATCGTCCCAGGGAAGGGGGTCACCTTCAGCCTCCCCCTCCGTCACCAGCTCCAGGCCAGGCTGCCCATCCTGAGTACGATGGCATCCTGTCTCTTCGGCACAAGGCCCTGCACAGGGAGCACACGGTGAGGAAGAGGGCCAGGGCCAGCCTGCAGCGCAGCCACGGTGGTCCCTTCCCCAGTGCCTTCCTACACTGCTCCAGTCAGTTCTTCCCCCTCACCTTTCTCCACCTTCTTGTCCCTCTTCTTCCTCCTTTTGCGGTTTCGCTTGGGCATCACTTCAAACTCCCGGAGGTCCAAGGTCCCCAGTGTCACTTCCACAGTCTCCAGCTCCCCTGCAGGGCTTTCCTCCTCTTCTTCCTCCTCCTCCTCTGGGACTGAGGGGGGTGATAAAACACGGGCTGAGGCCCCACATACAGCACAAATCACTTGCGGTTCTCAGCCAACCACACCCTGCCCTTCTCCTGCACAGCACGAGGCCACACTCTGCAGAACCCTGCTGTGGTGCCAGGCCCTGTCACAAGGCTGCAAATCTGGTCCCGTGCCCTAATACCAGACCACTCTGCTTGCTCAGAGTCACATCTCCCTCCATGGCTCAACTCACCACTTGCGTCCTCCTGTGGGGGATCCATCTCTGCTTTCTGCTGCCTCTTGTGCCAGGCTTTCTGGGGGGATCCAGTGATGTCCTCCAGTGGTGTGTCCTTCCCTGGGCAGCAAGGGTTCTCCTGTCATTGCCTGGGAACAGGGAGCACCCCATGTCTCCAGGGATTGAGGGTTGGAGAGCTAGCACCTCCACCCCAAAAGGGCAGCACGCCCTAATGCAAAAGGGACCACATCACCCCACCTGCTCTGACCCACAAACACCAGGGCTGGTCTGACCTACCATACACCAGCAGGCTGGCCAGCGTGGTGTGGACTCGCAGCACCTCTCGCAGGGTGGCCCTGCGGGTGCTGAGGGGGATGTGGCAGATGCGAGGGTCACCCCGGCTGAGGGGTGGGTTCCTGCCACCGAAGAGCAGCGCACGGTTATGACGAGGGGCCCGGAGGAAGATGCGTTGAGCTTCATTCAGGTGCTGTGCCCAGGCTGCCAGCAGGTCCTGAATATCCTGGGAAGGAAAGGGAGGCACTATGGGATCCCAAGCACACTGTGTGGGCACAGGTAGCTCTGGAGCAGGGACAAACCCAGGATGGAGCAGCCTCAACTGGGCCCTGACCCCTGCCAGAGCTCACATCCCACCCATGCCCTCCAGCAGCAGTGTGGTACCACCTCATGGAGCCAGCCATGACCATGTCTCCCTGCTGAGAGCCCAGTACTGTGGTGTGTCCTCACCTTGAGCAGCGCGGCCTCATTGTAACGCCGCAAAGAAGCTCCGGCTGACCTGGGTGCCGATCCTGGGGTCTGAGCATCCCGTAGGCCCTGGGATGTGCCCCGCCGGGCTCGCACCGTGTAGCGGTGGAAGGTCTTGTGCTCCTGCACCTGGGGGCTGCAAAGAGGAGCAGGCATGAGCAACAGGGCACCATGTATGGAGACGAGGTGAGCTGATGTTCCTAGGACCCTGGAGGACTTGTGGCTTGCCCCTGGGGCCCGGAAGATTAATAATCCTCTTGCAGCGCAACTGGGCTTAGCCAACTCTCAAAGACTAGGAGCTGTGGGTGCCCAGGGTGTGGTAAGCACTGTGATGGAAGAGTAGGCAGGGGATGGCCATCCAATGCCTAGCCCCATTTGACCATGCCCGGAGGGACAACCCCCAGCTCTGTCCCCCCATACTCACCCCCGGAACACAGCTCCTGCGAAATGCCCGCCGCCCATCATCAGCACAACCCAACACGTGTTCGCATCGAGGCTCTGCAGTGATGCTGTCAGCTCCACTGGCTCCTCGATGCCACCCTGAGACACAGACAACCTTGCTAGCACCCCTGGTGTCACCTTGTAACCTCTTGCTGTCCCCCAGGACAGAGACCAGCCCTCTGCTGGCCCCTGAAGCAGGTTTCTGAGAGCATTCAAGAACTAAAATAACAGGCCACCAGCAAGCCCGGGGCTCTGACCTGGCACTAGAGACAACCCTTCCCATATTGGGACGTGGAGGGACTGTCAGACAGATGTCTACACCCCAGTGCCATCCACTTCCTCTGGGGTCCCTCTCCCGACAAGCTGGGCTGTGACTTGCCTTCCTGGTGCACAGCACGCAGCGGTAGGCAGAGATGAGCTGGCCCTTCGCATTGCGGAGCAGCACCTTGTGGGAGCGGGGGACCGGGGGGGTCGCGGGGCTGTCACTGGCAGGGTGCAGTAACTCCGACTCACTGCTTGTATCAGAGCTCTCCGAATCAGACCCTGAGATGCTGGAAACATCACCTGCAAGAGAAAGAAAATTAAGCAGTGGAGCAGGGCAAAGATTAACCAAAGGCCTCCTCAAAACTTTGCAGGTGACTCCAAGGGCTAGCCCACAACCCCAAAGTGTCCTGTCCAATACCCTACATATCACAAGGGGGCTGGGAAGCTAGAGGTTTGGGGGTCTGGACCCCCAGGTATGCCTAGGCAGGGGCTCAGGTAGCACACCCCTTTCTCTCCGTAACAAGTCAGCAGGGCTCAGGAGTAGTGCTGGATCCCCAGAAGACCCTACAGGGGCAGAATAAAGGGACCCTGAGCTCGCAGAGGTAGCCAGGGGCTTCATCCCTGCACAGAACAGCCCTATCGAGCCACTGAGAGCCTCTGGACTCTGTTGGAGGCAGCCCTGTTCCTCACCTGCACGGGTCTTCTCCTCAAACACTTCTACCGGCAGTGTCCGGCGCCCCAGGAGTCGCTGCTTCAGGTTGAAGCGATGCCAGTCGAGACGGTAGTGCTCAGTCTGTGGAGGAAAGAGGTATGAGCCAGCAAGGTCTTGGTGGCCCAGGGAAACCTCCACCACCAAAGGCCCTGAGGTGACAGACTCCAAGGGCTAAACAGATGCCAGGACCCTGCAGTGATCCTGACGGGAAGATGGGTACATTAAGGAGTTAGCCATGTAACAGTTAACCTGAACAGGAGCAGACCTGTGCTGCAGGTACCATTTACCTCCAGTAAATAACATTTTAAGTGATAATGCGCAGGGTCTGAGTGCCAGATCCCAAAAGGACATGGGCAGTGGAGCTCCAGGAAGCAGCCAGCACCGGGCTGCATCGTGCTGGGGTTAAGCCTCCGCAGCAGGGCTGTGCCAGTTCCACTCACCTGCTCCTCCCGGCTGCCGAACACCTGCCCGCAGGTCGAGCAGCACATCCGCTCCGGCACCTCGGGGACCCCATGGGGCTTCTCCTCACTGCTGGTGGGTGCAGGTTTCTCTGGAAAAAGAAAGAAGGCCTGTGCACAGGCAGCTCCCCAGGCTGCACCGCAAGGAGCAGGGCCTCCTGAGTCTCTTCTCAGCCACCCAAACAGCCCTGTGGCTGTAAGAAGAGCTTCGGGGACCTTGGGGTGACACTGAGAAAAGCCCATTTACCCACCCACCAGGCAACTTCTCCAGCTAACCTCCAGGGCAATCACCCAAGCTGTGTTGGGGACAGAGCTCCTTCTTTGTGGCTTGGGGCTGGGGGACATGAGCTTGGCCAAATAACCCCCCGCAGCCCCCCGTGGAGCCCCACGTACCGTGGCTCACAGGCGCTGGCTCGGTGGCCCACAAATCCGCAGCAACTCCGGTGACGAGGGTCAGCCCGTGCAGGAGGACGGGGTCCTGGGCGGCCTCGAAAACCGACCTGCTCTCCGGGACCGGCATCGCTCCTGCTCCCAGCGGAAGGGACAGCGTCTGAGCGACGAGCCTAGTCC